AGTTTCAGAACGGCATACCTTTACTAACACTACGTCCCAGGTTGTTATTGATTCGCAAAGGATCAATAACATTAAAATGTTTGGAAACAAAAGGCTGGCCCTGATTTTCTTGACCGCCAGGGAAAACAGCATACACTGAGCTACAGGCATCAAGAAATAATTTGCTCAGTAATAACTCTCCACCATCTTTTCGAGGAGGTTCAGCTGCAATATAAACAATAACAAATTTAAACAGGAAATTGTCAAAAATTGAAGTAAAAAAAAATGGACGCTTGATGGTCAAAAGTTTACTAAAGCAATTAATCAATACCAGTTACATCTGGAAGTGCACTAATGGGCACAGGACCCCATAGGCTAACACAAAAATTGTCCCAGTCAAATTTACTAAAAAACTCTAAAAAACGATACAGGACCTGCACAAGCAAAGAAAACCATTCAGATGGATCCACAAACAATAATGCCAATATAATACACCAACTTAACCATAGCCACCTCAAGTGGTCCAGCAAAGGAGTTGTTGAAAACGTGAAATATGTATAAAACCAAAGTTTCCAGCGCGTAAGTTGAGATAAGTCCATGGTGAGCACCCAGTATTCGGCTCTCATAATAACACCAGGCCTTTATCAGTATGATACTACGCTTGAACAAATGATTTTGATTTATCAAATGATCAACCTGCAGAAGCAATTAATACAATTAGTCAAGGCATACAAATATTAACGTGGTTTACAAATGCACCATTTACCTCCTCAAGGAAACAAAGGGTGCACAAGCCCCCGAGCTGATTGAATGATATGTCTACTACAATGTTTTCCACAAGGCACTTGATTATCTTCACCTGTAGATATACAAAGAGAAGTATTACAGTTAAATATAGTATCAGAAAAGCAAAATTAAAATATAAAGAGAATCAAATATAGACAAAAACTAACGAACATTGCCACAACAGAATCTCAAATAAAGGAAAAAATGCTAATGAGAATAAGAGGAACATACTTCTGCCTGAATGTACTGAACCTCTTTCACGCGGAATTCAGCATTCTCGTTCTTCTCCTCATTCTCCAGCATATCACGAACCTGATGGGCCCATGTGTCCTTCAAATTTTGAGTCTTACTGAAGGCTGTCAGGTCAATATCTCCATCAGGCAAATACGTCTTGAGGGGTACAGACCCAAAAGTGAACACCTGGACATAATCACAAACATTTAGGTCAACAAAAATAAATGCATAAATAACATGAAACACAATAAATATGCACCAATTCAACAAGTTAACAAACAACTTTTCATATCATAACCATCAGCATTGGGTCCAACTTTGTCACATTGAAAGACATGCTAAAAAAACCACCAGTGGACCCCATTATATGTCATTTCCCCAAAAGCCCACAAGTCTCAAAGTTCCACCCGGCCTAAGGTTATACACATCTCTCTAATCCGATATAATTCTTGAGTCCCCTTTAGTTCTTGTTAGCTTAAACTACAAGACTTATGCAATCATCCTTCTGCGTTCAGAACCTTGAACATCCTAAAAATCCTCAAGTTATTGGTTTTTACGCATTACCATGAAAATATTTCAAAATTTACCTGTGGTATCCAATACCTAGATAATGCAATACAACATTGTAAAGTGTTTTTCTTTTTCTAACAAAATGAGAATTCTATCAGAAATTGAACATGTAGTTACAGTTATTAAAGCAAACAAATACTGTGTATACATATTAATAAGTATGTCCCACCTGGCAGGGGAAGCACTTCATGATGAGCCGCTGAACATAATCGGCAACGGCATTTCTGCGCTCCTCGGAGGGTGGATTGGGCTGAATGCAGGCAATAAGCTCTGCAGTTCTCTCCTCCGCCTTCAACCATCGCTCTGAGTCGAGCACTCGCATTACCGAGGCAGCTTCATTGGGCAATAGGCCATTCGGCAAAAGCCCACTTGGTGGCTGTGCCCACCCCTCATGTTCGCCCATGCAAGCTTAAGCTTTCCCTTCACTTCTACACCAAACAATAACTCTTCCTTGTACCCCAAAAGTCCCAAAAACAATACAGCAAAGCTGAATCTTTCCCCAATCCCAAATAACAATGGCAACAACTAAAATACAAAAACACAGAAATCAATTTTTTGCTCTAGGTAGACCCTTTACTCCAAAAAACCAAAAGGAAACCTTCAGCTCCAAAACCAATAATAACCCAAATAGGATTTTTTCTGTTTTTCCCCTTTAAAGTTCAAATTTTCATTTGCTGCAAAAATACTAACCAACTTTTGCGTACTTCAGGAAACGAATATCACAAAATAGAATCCTACCCAGTAGTTAAAAACCTAAGCGACAATTAGAAATACAATTAAATATTAAATTAAATCCCCAATCTGATGAACAGGGACGAAACCCTAGAAAACCCAGCAGACGAAACCGTAGGGGATGATTGGGAGATTGGAGAAACAAAGAGATGGGATTATAGGAACCGGAACTGTGCAATCCCAACAGTGGGTAAGTGTCGGCGAATCAGAAAATGAGGGAAGTGCAAGCTTGGCGAGGGAGAAGAAGAGGAACCAAGGAAGAAATGTGGGCAGAAAGGTAGGGAATTTGATTGAATGGGGCTTCAAGTTTTGATCAAAATTAGGTGTTTTTTTTCTTATTTTTCAAAGAGGGAGAGAATTTGGATTGGAGGAGGTTGTCAGGTTGGGGTGCATTTGTGAGGGGTTTTTGAAATGAAAATTTATTGGAGAAGAAGAAAGAGAGAAAGCATCCAAAACAAAAGAAAAAAAATTTTGATTATTGGGGAAATTAAAAAATTATATTTTTTTAGGGGTATTGTTTTTATGCGGTTTTTTAAGGGGTATGACCTGGGCCAGTAGCCTGGGATACTTCAACCTAGACTTGGTTTTAATTGGACCATGGCCTCATCAAATTGAAGGGTAGTTGCTATAAACACCCAAAAATATCATCACTACATTTTTCATCCAAAAGAATTTCCAAACTTTCTAATTTTAGCCTCTCACTTGTTTTTCCCTTCTTTTTTTTTATAAATGTGCTTGACTTTTGAAAAAAAGAAAGAGGAAAAAAGAAAAGTCATGACCGATCTCATAAACGTCAACTTACACTCACTTCCGATGAAGAGATAAAGAGCATTACTAACTCCATATCAAATGGAGGCTGCCATACTCTATATTTCAAATAGAGACTAGTGCAGCCTACATTTCCATTGGAGGCCAATGTCCCTCATCCAAGATAGTTTATGTTATGTAGATATGGAGGATATGCCGATCTTTTTTGGAGAGATGAAAACAATGACGATGCTACTTGACTAGACATACCGTATCGATCTTTTATGTAGAATGTTAAAATGTAATCTAGACATACCGTACCAAAGTTCATAATAGAAGATTTCTGGTATGTTATGGAAAAAAGCTTCACATACTTTTTCAAAATTGTAGGAAGGTAACCTTGGCACCAACCTCTCATATGGAAAAAAAAATCTATGTATAGAAGACGCAAATGTTATTTCGGTTGGTGGTCATGTAATATTATTGTCAATTTTCAAAAGAAAAGAGGTTGATATTCAAAAAAATAATAACTGTCATTTTTTTTTATTTGACATGAACAAGAAATTTCTGGTTCCGCCGCCATCACATAGAGGCGATGGGCTAGCCATGAGCTTCTCAGTTTTAAAAATAAAATAAAAATAGGCAAGTGTAAAATAGAAAGCCAAGAAAAATAATTAGGTGCTGGGTGTAACTAGCAATTCCCAAATTTAAAATACCATGCAAGTCCAACATCAGCAAGCCCATGGTGGCATAATAGGCCATCCCAAAAAGCCCACCCCAGTGACCAGTTCGGCAGAGCAGGTGCCTTCTTCTTCTTATTCAATCCCCCATTTTTTGGGGGGATTGCTGCTGGCGCTCAAAAAAACTTCTGGGTATTTCAGACAAAGCTGTAGCATTTGCATGGCTAAACAGGTTTGGGCTTAGTTATGAAATTCAAAAGCAACTTCTTTCTTAGAGTTTTATCAAGTTTTAAACTTTAATTAGCATATACTCCCCTGATCAGTGTATCTCTTCCTGATTTCTCATTGTATTGCCTCGAAACACTTTCATATGTCAAATTTTGGGCCTGAAGGCCTATATTTCATTCTTTGTTTTTGCTCAAAATATATTATGGGTTCATTTTCTTCAACTTAAATATCATAGCCTGCAAACTCAAATTTCCATATGCGTATGGTAATTTTTGTTTCTGTCATTATTGTTATTATTGGTCTTTGCTTGATTTGCTACCACTAGCAAAGATGGTTATGATTGTTACTTTGGGAGGATACAGAGCTAGTGGTCGGAATGGTGTTTATTTCTTAGTTCCAGATGGAAAATTGGGAACTATGGTTGTCTAGGCAGGAAGAAGGCAAATGTGATCAGCCAGTGAGAAAGCTGGCAATGAAAAGTTGTATAAAGGGGGCCCATGCATATACTGATTACAGGGATGGGTTATGAATCAAATATAATAGAGTCTTTCTGTTTCCACGTTTTTCTTTCGAGTGTTTTCTAACCCTTCCGCTTTTCATTCACGGCACCATTCAAAGAACAAGAAGTGCGTTGTGTGCGACAAGCAAAAGGATGGCTGCAGAGGGTGAATTACATTTACTACATTTACTTATTGATCTATTTGCTTTGAAGTCATGTGGCAGGAATGCTTCTTCCCGTCCCCACCTTTGACTAAGTGTTGAAGAGGAAGTTCACTTTTGACTCTGATAAAATGAGGAAATGCATAACAACGGTGTAAGTTCACTTTGGTAATGTAAGTTAACGGTCAGCTTTCGTCCATTTTGTGGTGGTGATGTTGTCTGAAATTATCTTGTGCTTAGTATACTCTTTGTTTTGAAATCTGTACCCACAAAAGAAGAGATTAAAGGAAAATACTTTACAGTAGAATTTGAATTCTGTACCCACAGTTTAGTAACCTTTTTTACCAATTCTTAACAACAGGGACTGGAGGATTTACATAGATACAGAGATGGTTAGGAGGTAAGAGATGTACACGACAAAACAGAGACGACAGATTAAATCCTCTACTTATTTTCATATGAACATCTCCTATATGCATGTAGAAAAATCTAAGTAGAATGGAACTAAACTCCTGTGAGTATCTCCTTGGTTGCCAACCCGCTGCTCTCTAGATTATTTTCATGGTTCCATGAGTGTGGAGATGGTGAAGTAAGTAGTGGCCACAAGATATTCCTCTGTTTTCTCACTTTCCGAACAACCATCCTCATGTGTTGCCTTAGGACTCCATTCACAGCCTTTAGATAGTTGCTCGAGTCATGGTCTCGTAGGATTGTACCTTCTGAACCATAAGCTGTAGGATCACTTAGAGTTTCTAGTGGATGTGGGGAGTTCAAGAAAGCCCTAAGTAGACTTGAAGAGAATCCACATTGGGTCTTGTCCAAAGCATAGAGGGCACTCCCCAGAGGAAGTAGAGGGTGTGGAGGAGATGAATTTTCGTCAGGTTGGAGAATGAATAGTTTACCCATGGGAGAGTATAATATTTTCTGCACAAAAACACAGACATTAGAAGAAGAGAATGAGAAAACTTGCTTGTACTTCAAATTCAGTAGATAGGTTATCTATATCAAATTCTACATTTTCCTATATCTTTTTATAAAGCCTTTTGATTACATATGTTGGTCCTTACAGATTCTGGTCTTAACTCTACTCTGTGCACGAATGGCATTCTTTGAGGTTAGAGTGGGAAATGACAGATGAGTTTAAAGCCATAACCCTATCTATTTTTGGTGGACTTCGATACTTACATTTTTTATCAGACAAGGGTGTGACCGAAATGAGCCATTTAAACGCTTGAGAAGTGTGGCCACATGGTTAGGGTAGTTGCAGGAGAAGGCTCTAGGGACAATATCTCTATGCATCATCACGGAATGGATTTGATTCTCATCCACGCCCAGTTGGTCAAGTATTTTCTGGCCTCCGCAGAACACAAATGGTGAGCCAAATGTGACAACTGGCCGAAGAGTGGAGGGTTTTACAAGCTTCCTACTCAGTAGCATCAAGTGGACTAAAAGAGAAAGGCTTCCTCCAAGAGAATGACCTGTAAATTGAAGTTTTGCTCGCTCACCGTGTTTATTCAAGTGGTCGATTATTTCCGGCATAAATTGCTCGTACATTCCCTTTGCTGCTTCATAGATTCCTCTGTGAACAAGTACATCTGTCCCCTGTACAAGGACATTGGGTTGTCAGTGGTTTCTCATTTTCTTTCATTATGCAACATTAACAAGTGGGGAATCCAAATCTATGCGTACCTCAAATTTGGTGGGTTCAAAGAAGAGGTTTGCTTGCCAGGAAGAGAGGGAGTCGGAACCCTGCAAGCAAAAATAATTTGCATGTTAAGTATTTACCAATCTGCTGCACACTATCTCTTTGTTTCAGAAATCAGAAGATTGTGCCACTTGAACTCTGCCTTTTTAATTCATTAATTGGATATCAAAGGACCTTGTAGAGCTATTGCCAAATGAAGGTAGAGTTAATGATTTGTCAAACACAGATCAAGTGGGATCAAGGGCTAAGACATTACCTGAATCACAAAGCAACGAGTATATGTACTGGAGTCATCACAAACAAACCATTCACAAGGTGAGGAGTGGAGTGACTGAAGGTCCTTTGCTGTTTCTTGTTTCTCCCTTTCCCCTGCTGCAACCATTACTGTCATTGTCGATGCTGCCATGGAAACAGCCACCTCTGGTTTATAGCTTCGAGGTGAGCTCCCTCCTTCCTCCCGTGAATTCTCACAATTTCTGCCTGAATTCTCGCCATCACCCTCCTGCTGTGATTTAGACCCAAGGGGAAGGCTATCCTTATCCCTTGAGCGCACATAAGACGCAGCTGAGGCAGCAATATTGTAAGCAACAGATGGACGGATTGAACACTTCTGCTCGGATTCTGCCGCTTTCTCTGAATTGGATTCACTAGATTCGGCAGCTACAGGTGCACGAGTAGAGTCCTCATCAAGTTTTGCTTTGATTTCATCTGCCTCGGCTTTCTTTTCTAATGAAGATGTTACAAACTGTAGCGCATAATACCTCTTCAAATCATTGGCCTGCACATGCATTAGTAGTGTGAATTTATTTCCTCATGCTTGAAATATCCAACCTCTGTTTCACTATAAATTTTTTCTGTAAATGCTATGACTTCTGAACCATGCAGAACAAAAACGTACCTTGATCTGTGGGATCACATATGCCAGGTTGCACAAGAAGGCTAGCTGAGAAAAAAGCTTGGTATCAGACCATGGTACTCTAACCAAAAATTTTGAGAAAAATTCAGGACTAATTTCTCCATCATCTTCTTCTGAAGTATAATCCACTGCACAACCACCTTCCTCTCCACCACATTCACAATCACCATTTTCACCATTGACACAAAAGTTGTCGTTTGTGTCTTCATCCGCAACGTCTTTTTTCTGCCTATTCCTCCATTTACTTCTGATTTCCACAAGCCTCTCCACCCAATTGGCTCTTTTTCTCTCCTCTTCACCAGCACTCTCCTCAGAGTTCTCCACCATATTCATGTCCTTCTCCACTACGCTCATATGCTTACTCGTGTCTGGATCAAACAAGAATGATCGAACCGAGTTTGGGAGAATGGAGCTCGAAAATTGAAATGGGAAAATCCCCATCGAACGGCTGTTTTTTAGTTTTGGTTGTGTTGAAGCAGCATGGATACGATTAATGCAGTGACAAAGATGGTTATCCGAATAAGACCTCCGGATAGTAGCACGATTGTAAAGGTCTTGGCTAGAGTGTGACCGCCGGAGACCACTGTGCTCTTTGAAGATTTCTGTTCTCCTGGAGGAAGCCGGAGAGGTTGGAATAACCAGTGCACTGCATGCCATGGTTGCACCAAACTACAAGCAATGAAGGTTCACTTCCTATGTAGGGATGACTTGCCTGGAAAATATTTAAACTCTTTTAGCCAACAACTTGTAACCCATAAGAGGATCAGATGTTCCTGAACTCCTAATTGCTTTTTAGCCGAGTTCCTGAAAGCAAATCAACATATGGCAATGGAGTTTTATAGTGCTCCCCTCTAATCAGCGATCTTCTCCTTGTTAACCACGGAAGCATTATGAAACTACCATTTTGTCCACAAGGCAAACTACCAATCTTCATATAATGCAACTTTGTGGTAACCCAAGGTTGAGGGGTTTAAAGTCATTTGGCATGCGAATTAGACAAAGTAAGACGTAGTAATATTCGAGAACATAATAAATACATTACGTGTATATAGTTTAGCCTTTTACTATGATCATATCGTAAATCCAATGTAGCATACGTATTTAAAGTTTGACCCTCATAAGCATATAGTTGAGGAATAAAACCCCACCTGAGGACAATACTGTCGTGAAAAACCATGCAACTTTTTATGCCTAAAACGAGATTGCATTTGAGCAAATAGTATCCTCTACAATGTATTTTCTTCAATCTTGTACTTGTATGTATACCGTGTTCAAATTTAATCGTATTTCAAATTCATAATATTAGATTGTATCTACTCATTTCAAATACATTACATGTAATATTTCTATACTTTTTGCAATCAATGTGATCTTCTTGTTAAAACTCAAGTTCATTTTTTTAAATTCCTCCATTCCAATGGGATATCAAAAATAAATAAAGAAATGTCGGTTCTCTATATTTGTTGGCTTTATGATACAACTAAAAATCAGCATGTCCTAGGTTTGAGGATTGGCATCGATCGAATCCACGTATGTCCATAAAATAAATAAAGAAATTAAAAATTCCACATCCAATCCAAATGAACACTCATTAAACATAAAGCAAGAAGTGTGGATTTTCACATAAGTGTCACATATGGAGGTGATACCAAATTAAAACCAACCACAATTTCTGTCTTTGTCACTTGGAATTAAAAAGGATTTGGTTATTTGTTGTCAATTTCAATGGCTTACCTTGGCTCACCCGATTGACAAGAATCTCTCACCAACCTTTAAATTGTCCGCCTTGCAATCTGTTTGGGGATTGCAATAAATTTGTTTTTTTATAATCACTTTTTCCTCCAACCTACAAACCCATAATCTTTGTTTGTGTTTGAGATTCTAGGACAAATCTTCTAACCACTCCCCTCTCTCGAAAGCATCGTAATTAAGTTAATTAACAGAACTTAGAGTCGACAGTCTTATTAAAACAAGCTCACAAGACTCAAAACTCTGATTAGCTCCAAAACCAGAAAATACTAGAACTAGGGAAGCATCATAAGTTTGATCAAATTAAGGATGTGACAGATGATATGACACTCAACCATACCCTCCCCAACCAAACTTTCATATCATTCATGACAAATTAAATGACTCAAAGATCCAAAAAAAGGTAACGATTTTTTCAAAGATTTCTGTCTCTGATTTGAAGGAAACAACCCAAAAGAGACAAATCAACAAGAAATTTCAAAAGGGTTCCCAAAACTTTTTTCTAAGTAGACAAAAAAAGAACCCAAAAATGAAAATTTAGAAACAAGAAAAGAAACCCAAAAAGGAAATATGAGTAAAGTGGAGATATATACCTCAAAGAATTAACCCTACCCTTCACATGTCTTCCATGGCATCACATTGTGAAGGAGATAGAGGACTGAAGCTGGTGGATACAGAGTGAGAATGCAGCTATAGCCAATTTGAAAATGCCTGAAATTCTGTGAGAAAATGCAGTATATACAGAGTGAGATCTGTTTTGGACTTGGTGGTTCGGAGACTTCTTCTTCTTCTTCTTCTTCTTCTTCTTCTTCTTCCTCCTTGTGCTTTGTTTTTCTGAGAGTAAGATCTGGCTTTTACTATAATTAGAGGTTCCGGTTTTAATATGTTAAGGGGTTATAGAAACAGCCATGAAGAATCTGTTCACGTGGACTTTACTTGAGGAGCTGCCACCTTCGAACCAATTTCTTATGGTCGAAAATACCCCTATGAATTTTTTTAATATATATTTTAATTTTTATAAATGGGGTTGGTGGCTATTATATCATACTAACTTCTCCGCACGCGCTTCCGCGCATACGAGAGGCTTTTTTAAAAAAAATTAACATTTATTTTAGAATTGAAAAGGATAATGGGTAGTTGTATTCCATAAAAATAGGCCATTATCTGATTTTTCTTTTCATTTTAATTTTTTTAAATATGAAAAAATGTGAATTTATCAAATTATCCTTATTTAATTAATAATTTCAATTCTTAATGTTTGTATTAACCAAGGGTATTTTCTGGTATTTTGAATGTTTTACCATTCTTTGCCTTTTGCTTTATATATAGATAATTCACAAACCTTACATATCGGTGATTGAAATTTTGATTTCATAAAATTGATTGAGAATTACATGTTGATACAAAGATATATCAACTCTTAATATTAGAAGAAGTACGACTAATGCTACTTCCATAACTATTACCAAGAATCTTATTTTGTATCATATATATATCTATCACATTATACATCACGGAATTCGTCTAAACAAATAAATTTTTATGAAGAATAAATCGATCTGAAATTTACAAATGTTTAATCAACCTCTTGCAGGGCAGGTGTGTTCGTCAACATGATCACTTCTTTAAAGGATGATTGCCTATGTAATAGAGGATGAGATTAATAAATATGATACAAATCTCTTAATTAAGATAATATTTATGTTATTGATAGTCTAGTCGCGTTTGAGTTGTAAATTGATCATTATGAGTCTCCGTTGTATATCTTATGATATTTTATCAATAGTGTCTTTAATGATAAAAAATTATTATTAGAACATCACATATCATATTTCTTCTTATTTTGGTATATTTCTAAAACAAAATAAAATGTGTCAAACCAAAAAAGAAAAGGAAAAACATTTCCATGTGTAAATATGTATGGTAATCAGGGTTGTTTTTGTCAATTAATGCTATACATTCTTTTGCACCTGGAGGGACGGTGGTGTCACAATAAGATTGTAACTCCTCCTCCTCATAAACACCTTTTGTCCCAAGTCATACAGACGGTTGAAGCAGAGCGTCTCATGGGGACAGATGTGCGGTTGCATGAACCACCCAAACCCAGTAGCTTACACATTTCGTTCACCCGCTAGTATACTCTGCTGCACCTCCTGTTTCCCTCCAAATTCCTTCGGCATGACGTGGCACTCAAGCGCTGTGCGGCCACGTCTCGCTTAACTTAAGCCTAGAAAGTACCCAAGGGAACTCGTTTATATATACTTTATCTCTCCTCTATGTTGCATTAATTTGTGCCAATTATTAATACAATAATATTGTACTATAAATATGGCCTTCTAGAAATAGAAAAATACACAAAAAATATTCATAGATTTCGAACAACAAATTTCATAAGGATGCAAAATGACGTTCATAGATTTCGATTACAAGTTGCGGATGACTTCTCTTTAGCTCCGCGTACTCATCGCTTGAAGCAAGCTTTTCGATGTTGTTTGTGATCAACTTCAAGGCTGCGTCGATGATCTGCTTGTCGTTACGATCGTGGCCGAAGGTGTAGGTCGCAAGTGAATTGTCCCAGTTGAGGTTGGACACCAAGAACTTCTGGCACAAGTCTTTGAGATGATGCAACTGGTACTTTTCAGCCACTCCAAGGAGTGTACGGGCCAATTTCTGGTCAAGGCATATCTCGGCCGTGTAGAGGTAGTTGACAAAGTCACAAAGGTCTCCGAGCATCAATTCGTAGAAATGGATTTCTGTTGCCCCATTGTCAAGGATGGCTCCGAACACCGGAGAACGGCTTGCCTAATCGAGTGCAGCGAAAATAGACATGGTTCAAAAGGAATTTGAAAGTGTACATTGGACAAAAACCAGATAGAATAATAATATTTTCCCAGGAACATGTGAAAAGCTGTCTGAATATGATCAACAATAATTAGGAGCAAACATTAAAGGAATTATGATGCTCATAGAGTCATAGGCCACATAGCATCACAACACCGTCCATATAATCAAAGGTTTGCCAAATGTCTAGTGAGGAACGAGAAATGATGATTAAAAGTAAAGCCACCAAAATGTTTGAACAAAAATCACTGCTGAAGTAAAGTAGCAAGTTGGAGAAATGGGCACTGACCAAAACGACCGTATGGGCAGAAACTTGTACAGGGCCGTCGGGATGGCCGTCGTCACAGGCAAACAGTGAGAGGTCGGGGGCGAAGCTTATGGAAAACTGATGGGGCATCGTGAGAAGAGCGACCTTAGCCTTGAGGTCCTCATAGCACTGCTTGCAGGCGCCGGCATCTCCGTCGTATTTGCCCTTGCAAGTCATGCACTTCATGTTGCGGTGTTCGAAGACAAACAAAAACAGAGAAGAAATTTCAAGAACATGTAATTTCATTTTCATCCATTGATCATTTATGCTGGCTTGTTAGCTTCATCTCCGCGCTTTACTTTTCCTTTCAATTACGAGTCACTGAATTATTGGACTACTTTATCTGGAAAGAGCCCGCCACTTTGCTTTCCCTGTATCTTAAGGGCTACGTCTCGCTTAAGCCTAGAAAGTACCCAAGGAAACTCGTTTATATATTCTTTATCTCTCCTTTATATTCATCAAACCCGGCAGCGGAAAACTTTTTAATTTTTCTATTTTTGGTGAAGAATAGATTTTGTAGGATTGGGCCTTTCATATAATTGGGCTTGGTATCTCATACAAAAAGATTGGGTGTGTAAGTGGCAGAGTGCTGCTTTACCTTATTACCAGATATTTTTACTTTTCTTGGGTCATATTTGGGCTTTGATTACCAGACACAAAAATCTGTAGAGTTGGGCTAGATTTGGGAAAGTTCATTATCTACTTTCGGGTAATGAGAAAACTTTCTCGCCTCGTGCTCCCTCATTAAGTCACTTGATCACTATATCAATGTCTACTCTTTAATATAAATTGGAGCGATGTGATTCAAACTTGATATTCTTTTCAATCTTATCTAATCTCGTTGTAATCGTCTCATGTTTGCGACAAACATTGGATTGGGACTGTCAAGAACACGTATATAAGATGTATACCACGTGGCTGTACTACAATGCCGACCCTGACTTTTGAGTGGCCCATGACCAAAAATTAAAATGACACCTTTAATTTGACTTTGTATGTAATCATAGTTTAACAAGAAATAAATATTTTACACATGTATTTTCTTAGTTGTTGAATTGAAATAAACTAACAAATGCAAACTATAATATAATTCCAACAACAACAAAAAAACCCATCAAACTGATTAATTGCATATTTGTTGTTTCAAAGTAAATTAATAATTTTTAAATGTTGGCCCTTGTATTGTTCAAGATTTGAAGTGATTTTGATTTGGGCCATTAATTTCGAACTCTCCAAAAATCACTTTCAATATGAACTTCAATAATTATATTTAACATATACGAATATAAATTTTGTTTGGCCCCTTTGGTCTACGGCCCTAAGCCGTCGCCCTCGGGGTCCATGCCCACACCCGGCCAAGGGTTAGTCTATTATGCAAAACCGTAGCCTAAAACATAATATCCAAAGCTTAAATCTCTCAAAAGAGGTCAAAGAAAGAAAAAGAAAAAGAAAAAGATGCAGTGGATGGAAACGTCGATAAAAACAAAGAGTAGATTGCCAGATGCTTTTGGTTTGATGTAGATTCTAGATGCATATTCTTTTACTTTTGATGGCATACATTGAAGCTCAGAACCTTATCCACACACCCCACCCCCATCAGCAACTAGCCAACAACAGCCAAAAGTATCAAAAACCTACCCCTCTCCGAAATATCCAATCAAAGTAACTCCTTTGAAAGCAAGGCTTGTACCTGAAAGTGAAAACTAGTTTTTTTTTAAGGAAAAAGAAAAGCAATCCAGAAATTAGGGTTTTTCTACTTGTGGTGTGTGCGGTAGGGTTTGCATATAATAATTGACTGAAACTTTGCATGAGACCCAACCCTAAGATGACACGTTTGGCCTCACATGCATGCCCCCCTTGATGTATACTACTTTGGAGTTTTGTATTCATAATTAAAACTTTGTTGGAGTTAGGTTAACTTGAAGTTGTGGTCCTGACTCGAGAAATTTTGCTGTATTTATTTATTAATTAATTAAGATTAGCTTCATCAACTTCCTAACACACAATAAAGAAGAATAAGATTAGCTTCATGAATCTTATCTCTTGCTTTCCCTTTTCTACAATATTACGTCCTTGTTCATTTTTCTTCGTACCCTATTGGCCCTTTACCTCTTTTGTCTAGTAACCACCCAAAGTAAGCTTGATATTATCAATAGGTTTATCCAAACGCAATTTGGATATAACGAACTACACAAAATGTAATTGTCTTTTCAGCTATAAAGATAATTCATAACTCCTATAAAGACAATTCATAACTCATACGGTTCGGATTATTAAAATACAATGCACAGTGAGCCGACAGCGAGCTTTTCAAATGAAACTTTCTACATATATATACCCATAAGAGTGATGTCACCTGATTTATGCATGCAATGCAAGGGTTGAGCCACTTTACGAATGATCCAATGAATTCACTACAGATCGATTGTCTAGACAATGGTAAGAAGAAAACTCAAAGCAAAATAATTTGTCCTTTGAAATTTTTTGATTTCCCAATCGTGTTTGCGCCGTATGTATTGCCCCATACAACCTATATTGGTGTTTTTTTCCATGTCCTGGTTGCATTGCATGCCCATTATTGGAGGAAATTTGTATGCATGAGTTGAAATATATGAATGGACAAGTCTTACAAGTTACAACAGAATCTCCTTCACCAACTGCCTTCAATTTCTTATCTTGAGACTAAAGAAAGCCTCTCTTTCTTTTTTTGGGGTCGGGGTGGGGGGGCGGCAATGATGAGAGCTTTGCAATTGACACTGAAAATGGAAAAAAAAGTTTTATATTATTAAAAAAGAAAGAGGATGAATTGATAACACGAACAGAATTGTAGACTTGGAAGTTGATGGGTAGGTAACTATCTTGTTAATCATGACTTTACCGTCTCTCTTTTTTTTATCAAAGACTTGAAAAATGGACTTTTCTTTCTATTCTACAGTCTATTGATCATGAAATTTCGAAAGAGCAATTACATAAATATGCTAGAACTATGTGTGTATGCAAACATTGCTGCTAGACATAAAATGTGAATATATATATATAAATAGGTTACGTGTATATTGAAATTGAATTTTTTTATTAATATCATCGATAGTCTAAACTACATAAGGAAGAAGATTTCACACATACTACACTATATGGGGATTCAAACTTAAGACCGCTGATCCACACACCTTCCTTAAATATCGCTAAAATCGCCATTATATTCTTGATCACTTTTTATTTTCATTTGTATAATCACTTTTTAATATTTGAGTGACCGAGTCCACGTGCTGTAACAAAGACCTCAGAAAGAAAGCAGTATTTTTAGCAAGAGAGATGCGCCATTGCCTTTGTGTTCAAGAAATTCGAGACCCTCGTAATTGATTCATTGTATGTGCAACTGTGGGAGAGTCACGTGTTCTTCTAGAGATATATGCACACAACACGTGATGGCTTACCAAACCCCGGTTTCTTTTTCTTGTATACATCAATCAAACCCAACCCATAAACATGCAGGCTCAACACCCCAAAACATTTGGAAATGTAAAAGAGTTCAATTTATTACAGTCTTATAAATATATCTAAAGTCATTCCCTTGTTTCTTTATCAAATATCTAAAGGCTTGTCCCTTGTCTAACAAACATTTTTTATTTATTTTATACAAACGATATTCTACTTAAAACTGCAGGAAGGTGAATTTGAACTCGGATGTCAAGTGAGGAACACATCCGCTAGCATAGCCAACAAACATGTTTTATACACGGAGTAATGTTTCATATTTACCACACAACCCAAAAAAAAAAAAAAAAACGAGTCTGGTGAGGGGGGTAATGGGGAAAAAGAGAAAAACACCTACAAAACTATATTGATGGAAAATAATATTACCAAAGAATAAGACACACTGGCAGAAAGTTGTAAGTGGAGGTGGGGTCCTGAAAGACGTGGCTTGCAAAAATGACAGAATACGTTAGAAGTGAGCAAGAAAAGGCATATGTTTATAAATGTAGAAAATGACAAAAACATGGACCAGAAAAAAACTATTTAAAAAATGAAAAAATAGTGGGCAGAATTGGGGGTTTGCTTCATGATATACCAAACTGTCAGCTCTCTTGTCTCCTTTTGATTTCACATGGCAAGTGTGAGGAATTTAAAAGCAAGTGGCAACACACAGAAAGCTTAAAGGGAAGCGACACTTGCACTAGTAGCAGGGAAAAAAGAGACGAAACCCTAGTGGGCATAAAGATCCATGTTTAGGGTTTACAAAACGTTCTACTTGCATTCGTTGCCCCCCTTCCCATTTATAGATGAACTCAGAGGATCAAAACCCAAGATGACTTGAGGAATTGGAAACCCCAAGTGCAATTATGATCTTATCCAAACTAATTGATCTTATCTCTTGGATGATTTGATTCCTAAGAGATAGCATGTTTTAATGTCTTGCAATGTGTTGTGCTACAAAAGATAAAACAAACTTAATTTGTAAAAGAGGTAAGGTTTTATGGCCAAAATGAGATACCTACCTTTGACTTGTGTGAACATAATTTGTAAAAGAGAGAATGCAATTTATTCTAAGTAGTCTTTAATTGGCAAGTTAGTAGGAGCTAATCTTAGATATAACAATTTGGATCTTTAACCCTCCAATAGGTAACCCCACAAATAAGGATTTTAAAACTTATGATCTAGTTGAATTGGTTATCATTATTATAGTATTTGATATAATGGATTAAACTCATGCATCATAAACTTGGGAAAATAGATAATACCTTTTGGGAGTCGAACTACTTACAACTAAAACGTCGTTGTTTGAGGTTTTTTAAAAGGGCAAAAAGTCACTTTTGTCCTTGTAGATTATCAATTTTACCAGTAAGATCCATGTACTTTCAATTTGATCAATGTTGTCCATGTAATTTCAATTCCAAGCAATTCAAACTCAATCCCTAATTTCTATAAAATTAAGAGGGACATTTCGGTCCAATCTTGCAGCCCCTTCCCAACCACTTGATCCCATCCCATCCCTCCACCCCCTCCCGACCCAACCTCATCCTCTTAACACACATGTTCCCCACCCTATAGCTAGCCACAACCCAACCAACCCCACAACCACCTCCACGCCCTCCCGAGCCAACGTTATGCTCCCCTCCCTCCACCACATCCACCTTTTTTCTCACTCTTATCAAACTGTAAGCCTAATTTCATGCATCGCCCAAAATCTCTCATCATGAGCCCAAATTTCAAAAAACAAAAGCTAGAGTTTAAGACTAAAAAGTCACACAATTGTTTATTCAATATTGGAGGTAATGGACGTTGGGACTTGAAAGCATAAGAAAAGCTACATAGAGGCTGCTAGA